CGGGAGGCTGAGGCAGGAGAATCGCTTGAACCTGGGAGGTTGAGGTTTCAGTGAGCCGAGATCATGTCACCGCACTCCAACCTGAGCAACAGGGCAAGACTCCATCTCAAAAAGAAAAAAAAAAAAAGAAAGAAATTCCCTCTTGAATTTCAGTATAGATAGTAAGGTCTGACACCTAGATTCTCCTTCAAGTTTAATTTTTCTAAGTGCTATGTTTTGAATGTGTCCCCCAAAGTTCACTTGATCACCAGTGCAGCAGCGTAGGGAGGTGGGGGCTAAAGGAAGATGTTTGGGTCATAGTGTACCATCCTCCTGAATGGATTAATGCCCTTATTATGATAGTGGATTCCTTATAAAAGGATGAGTTTGGCCTCTCTTTCTCTCTTGCCCTCTCTTTGCCCTTCCACCATATTGTGACATAGCAAGAAGGTCCTTGCCAGATGCCTATACCTTGATTTTGGACTTCCCAACCTCCAGAACTGTGAGGAAATAAATTTCTGTTCATTATAAATCACCCAGTCTGTGGTATTCCTTTACAACAACATAAAACAGACTAAGACACCAAGTTTAAATCATTTATTTACTAGCAAAAAGTTTCTCCTCATTTCATAGGCCTACCTAAATTCATTTAGGTGAGGAAGAATGACACTTTTTTTTTTTTTTTTTTGAGATGAAATCTCTCTGTCTCCCAGGCTGGATGCAATGGCACAATCTCAGCTAACTGCAACCACTGCTTCCCAGGTTCGAGCAATTCTCCTGTCTTAGCCTCCTGAGTAGCTGGGATTACAGGCATACGCCTCCATGCCCAGCTAATTTTTTTTTTTGTATTTTTAGTACAGACAGGGTTTCACCATGTTGGCCAGGCTGGTCTCAAACTCCTGACCTCAAGTGATCCACCTGCCTTGGCCTCCCAAAGTGCTGGGATTACAGGCATAAGTCACCGCACCCAGCCAAGAATGAGACTTATCTTTAGTTTTTTTGGAGAGAATCAATACAATATTTGCCCATAAAACTCAGAGTCTTACCTTGATAAGATATATAGCTAACGATTCTTCTAACCTGCAATTCATCTGATGTTAGGCCACATCTTGCCCTAGTAATCCTTATAATACATTGGAGCAGAAGTCTTGTGAATTATTAAAATCCTGTTCAATTACCTTTTTATATTATCCACCTGGGAGCACTCTGATTTTCCAATGCTTGTCTTAGAGATGGCCCATCTCACAGTCTTCTCACTTATAAGCTGTTGATTTACAAATCCCAGCCTTCTCCCTCTTATACTGCAATTGATTGCTTCTCAAATCACTGCTGACAAACCGTCAGTGATTCCTGAAGGCACGAGAAATGACTAGCATCTGGGTGTTTGGTAATTTGGCACCCAAGGTAGGATTGACGATCTGTCCTATATAGAAACTAGATCTCAATCCACTTCTAGACTCTTCTAGGTTGTTGTTCCTCTGATATTTCCCTTCTTTCTTTGTGGCTTATCTCTTGATCCAAACTAATCACCTCAAAAGAGACACTTTGAAATTCACTAGTCAATGAGTTGCCAGGCTCCTTCAAATGAATACTAACAGCCAAATGACCAGAAAATTATTCCTATCATGTATTTTAGCATCCACCCACTCCATTCCCAATGTGCTAACCCACCATTTGATAAATAGAAGTATTCATTGTCCTGTATATATTGGGGAAAGGCACAGGAGATAAGATGCTATAGCACCTTTGCTTAGCTGGAAAGGTTGTGAAATACTGAGCACAGATTTGTGACGCCTGGATGACACAGCCAGGAGACAAAACAAATCCAATCGAAAAAAGCCTTTAAAATAATATGTCTTTGTTGACATTCTTATAGGAGGAAGCCAAGGAGGAATTTAACTGCACAACACACAAGAAGTTTTCAAAAATCCTCTTTCTAAATTTCTCCCCCCAAAATCCTACTGCCCATAGCCGCTGTTTCTCTCTCCTCCTCCTTCTCTCTTCTCCTGTCCTCAACCTTGTCCTCATTTCCTAACTACTCCTTTCCTTTCTTTTCTTCATCAAGTAGAGAAATACAGCCTGTGCCTGACTTCCCAACTCTCCACTTTGTCAAAGGCCTAGCAGCTGACAAAGCCAGCAAGGAATCTGTCCCCTGTCTGTCGTGGGAAAATATCTAATTTTTTTCTTTTCATGGTGACAATATCAGACTAGTCTCAGTTTACCTGATGTGTTCCCAAGAATACGTATAGGGCCTCTATAATTTTATCCCCAGACCCCTAGAATGGCCATGACTGGCAAAGGATATGAAAAGACCATCTCTCCCTGCTCTCCATGGACCACTGACCACCTTTTGCTTGGTGACCTACCCAGCTGTCCATCACTGGAATTGTTCAGGAGGAAGGAGAATGATTTGTCAGGGACTCTGTCTCTAAGATTCTGTGACTCCAAATGCTCCCGCTCCTTGCAATTCATGTTCTGTCCTCTAATTGCTTCTTTAAAACTGACCCTCTCACCTTTTCCATCCTTCAGCTTTAACCAACTGATAGGTAATTATTATTATTATTATTATTATTATTATTATTATTTGAGAGGGAGTCTTGCTATATTGCCCAGGCTGGAGTGCTGTGGCATGATCTTGGCTCACTGCAACCTTGGTCTCCCGGGTCCAAGCCATTCTCCTGCCTCAGCCTTCCCAAGTAGCTGGGACTATAGGCACCCACGACCACGCACGCTAATTTTTGTATTTCTAGTACAGATGGGGTTTCACCATGTTGGCCAGGCTGGTCTCAAACTCCTGACTTCAAGTGATCTGCCGTTCTCCGCCTCCCAAAGTGCCGGATTACAAGTGTGAGCCACCATGCCTGGCGAGAATAGTTATTATTCTATCAGTCTTTCTTTCTTCCTTTCCTTCCTTCCCTCCCCCTTTATTCTTTTATTTTCTTTCTCTCTCTCCTTCTTTGTCTTTCCCCATGTTGCTAAAAACCTTCTAGTAATCTCACCTCGACAATCTCAGTCTTAGCCTCTGCACGATCCAGACCATCATCATATCCCAAGGTCAAGTGTTATCTGTCCAATCTCTAACTCGGACCTGAATTGTTTTCTGTGTAGAAAAGCAATAATACTGAGGAAGAATTAGATTTTCACGGGACTCACACTTGCTATGACTCATTCTGGGAAGTGGAACACTTAAGAAGTGATAGCTGTGGCCAGCACCCAATTTCCATTATTCTTTGAGGGATAAATAAATATCACTGTGCCAAACTTATTAGTCAGGCCTCTTTTTGGAGACAAGTGACAGGAACTCAATTCATGCTAGCTTAAGCAAAAAAAATGAACTTGTTAGCTTCCTTAACTGGGAAACTCAGGAGTATAACTAGCCCCAGGCATAGCGAGACCCTGGGTTTAAACAAAGTTGGTAGGGTCTGTTCTCTAAATATCTCATTTCTGGTTTGCTCCTTCATATTAGTCCCGTTATTTCCTACTTCAAAAGAGCCCCCAGCCCTCAAAAATGAGCTTCCCTCGCGCACTTGGAAACATGGCTGCTGGCAGCTCCCAGTTAGGACATCCTAATTTAGCAACACCAGCAGAAAACAAATTTTTCTCTCGCACATTCATACATTAGTTCCAGAGAAAGACTGTAATTGATTCTGTTCAGAGAAAATGCTCACCCTTTAGACCGCTGTTGCCAGAGAGATGGAATCCTAAGGTGGTCAGCCCAAATAAAACCACGGGGAATAGAGGAGTGAGGTCCCATAGGAAGGGACGCGGTACGGAGAAAATCACATATGTCCATTATACGAGGGGTAAGGGACACCTTTGAGAGTCAAAGCACATGTGCACTTTCACTAGCTGTGCGACCTCGGACAAACCGCTTTGCCTTTGTCAGCTTCCATTCCTCAGGTGCAAAACAGTTAGTTACCTGGGTAGTAGTTAGGACATTACCAAATTACGTGTCACAGCGCCTCTCTACTCTGGATTTCTCAGACAGTGGAAAACTGACTTCGTGGAAGAAGGCACTTCAACAGAGCCTGCTGTCCTCAGTGTTCAGGCAGATACCCTCGTGGAGCGCTCCACGGTTTACGGAAAACTCTTGCATCGATTGCATAAATTAGAAAATAAAGCATACGAAGCCGGACTGCCTAGAGTACAGACTCATCAGCTCAGTGCGTGACTGGAGTCTCGTGCAGGCACACAAACCATAGGGCGATGCTGCCACCGAGTCATTTCCTGGATTAGGAGAAGTGGCAGAGACGCCCTCAGGGACCACACGCACGTGTCAGATCTCCAACTCCCAAGCGGCGATGCCCAGACGCGCTGCTCGGGGCCCAGAGCGCTGCGTGCACGCAGCCTCCAGCAATCACTTACCGCGTGTGCGCGCATGTGTGTACGTGTGTGCACGCGTGTATGAGTGGGTGCACTCAGTTATGTGCGCCAGTGTGTACGTGTATGACGCGTGTGTACATGTGCACGCGTGTATGCGCACGTGAGTGCACTCGAGTGTGTGCTCGTGTGTGCGCGCGCGCGCGTATCCGTGTGCGCATCTATTTGTGCATGTGTGAGTGCGCCTGTGTGTGCACGCTTGTGTGTACGTATGTGTCGTGTGTGCGTGCGTGTATATGTGCGTGTGTGCGCACTCGGAAGTGTTTGTGAGAGTGCGCGCGCACGCACGCGTGTCTGTGTGTGTGGCGAGGGGGGCGGCAAGGAAAGCAGGCTAGAAATCTTTTAAATAAAATAAGAAAAATAAAAGCCCAGCAGTCCAGGGTGTCTTCAGCCAGCCCCTCCCTCCCGCCCCACCTCCGGCTCCCGCCCCACCTCCGGCTCCCGGGCCGCGGCTCCGGCGCCGCGTTTTCCTGGCCGCCCCGGGCCCGCGGATTAAAGCTCCCCCGCCAGGAGTAAACAGCGCCCCAGCCGGCAGTCGGCAGCCCCGCCCCTCGGCCCGTTTCCTGCGCCAGCCCTGGCAACAGGCCCCGCCCTTCGCGACAGGCCCCGCCCCGTGCCGTCCGTCTAGCCCTTCCCTGCGTCCGCCTACTCGCGGCGAGGTCCCGGCACGGCCCCGTGCCGAGTACCCAGCCAGCCCCGACCCTTCTCCCGCGGGACTCCGCGGCCAGAGCCCGAGCCGAGGGAGGGTGCGTGCCGCGCACGTGACTCGTGTTGTGGGCGGGGCCTTCGCGGCGGCGGGGGGGGGGGGGGGGGGAGGAGGTGGGGGGGAGGAGGAGGTGGGGGGAGGAGGAGGTGGGGGGAGGAGGGGCGGGGAAGGAGGGAAAGGGAGTGGGGAGGAGAAGGGAGAAGGAGGAGAGAAGGAGGGCAGGGGAAGGGAGGAGGGGAGAGGAAAGTAGCGGAGGGGGGAGGGGAAAGCAGGGGAAGGGGCGGGGCGAGGGTCCGGCTTAGCCTCCTCCAGCTGCCTGGAGCTTGCCTGGGGCCCCGTTCTCCCGCCGCCGCCCCTGCCCCTGCCTCTCCTCGGGTCCAGCTGGGAACTGGCTCTGGCCTCTCCGCCCGGCGAGGGCCTCAATGGGCTCCCCGACGACTTTGCCGCGGTTGCTGCTTCTGCAAGCACAGCCTCCGGGCGCTGTCTGGCTGCAGGGCTCCCACCTCTTCCCCAGGTCCGTGCTCCGCAGAGCCTCTTAAGTTTCCTGCCTATGTCCATAGAACCCGACATTTCAAGCCCCCTGAACGCACAGGCTCCTGCTGCATGAACACCCCGCCCTCTTGCCTCCTGCACACACAGGCCTACATTGTAGGGCCTCCCACGCCTCTCCGTTCCTGGAATGGAGCTCACCTAACCCTGTGCTCGTCCTGCTGTCTTCTCTAAGGGTGGGGAAACTTGAGGTTCAGAAAGCTGGAAGGATTTCAGTGTGCACCATAGGTCGACCACACAACAGTCCCACTCCTAGGTATTATCCAAGAGAAATTAAAACAGATGCCCACACTAAGACTTCTGCTTGCGTCACAGCCAACCAGAAAGTAATCACAATATCCATGAACAGGAGAGTGAATAAACAAATTGCAATATATCCATGAAATGGGACGCTACTCAATAAAAAGAAATAAACTTTTTTATTTCTTTATTAGTGCAGACACTACCTGGGAGGAACCTCAGAAGTATTCGCTCTGGTGGACCCGGCACAGTGGCCCACCATTGTAATCCCAGCACGTGGGGAGGCCAAGGTAGAAGATCCCTTGAGGCCTGGAGTTTGAGACCAGCCTGGGCAACATAGTGAGACCCGTCCCCCGCAACCCGCATCTCTTCACAAATAAAAAACATTAGCCAGGCATGGTGGTGCAGTCCTGTAGTTCCATCTGGAGAGGCTGAGGGAGGATCACTTGAACACAGAAGTTCAAAGCTGCAGTGAGCTGTGATCTCACCACTGCACTTCAACCTCGGTGACAGAGTGAGACCCTGTCTCTCACATAAATTTAAAATAAAAATACATAAACTATTAGCTATGTGAAAAAAGCCAGACATACTATGATTCCATTTCTGTGAAATTCCGGAAATGACAAAACTAACGGTGGTGAGCAGATCAGAGATTACCAGGGGACAGGGTCCGAACGAGGGGATTGACTAGAAAGGGGCAAGAGGAAATTTGGGGGATGATAGAACTGTTTTATATTTTGATTGTTGTGGTGGTCACAGGGCTAGATACAGTTGTCAACAGTCATTGAAATGTGCACTTAAAGTTGGTAAATTGTGTTTTATCTAAATTATTCCTGAATAAAACTGATATTTTAAGAAAGGAAAGGTGGAAAACTTTCCCGGATCTGAACTAAGACTGGAACTCAGAACTCCTGTTGCCAAGGGCTTCTTTCTACCCTGATCTCTTTGTGTAATTCAGGGGCAAATGGAGGTAGAAAGCAGGACTCAGCTCCAGAGGCTGGGTTTGGACACTGAACCAAACTGAGCACTAACTAAAACAGGGACAGAGAAGAAGCAGCTTTCCCAACAGTGAAGTGGGAAAGACACGCCCACCATGTCAGTGTATCATTGCCATGGCAACACCCCAGAATGACTGCCCCTTTCCATGGCAATGACCCAACCACCCAAAAGTTACCACCCTTCTCCTAGACATTTCTGCATAAACCACCCCTTAATCTGTTACATGTAATTGAAAGTAGGTGTAAATCTGCAGCCTGAGCTGCTACTCTCTGCACACTGCCTACGGGGTAGCCCTGCTCTGCAGGAGCAGTTGAGGGGCTGTAATGCTGTTGGAGTTGTAACACTGCCACTTCAGTAAAGCTGTTATCTTCTGCTCTACTACCAGCTCACTGTTGAGTTCTTTCCTGAGCAAAGCCAAGAACCCTCACGGGCTAAGCCCCTCTTTGGGGTTCACCTGCCTTGCATCAAGATGACTATCCAGAAACTGGCAGTATCCAGCTATTGTCATCCAGTTAACACCCTCCAGATCTTCCCTCCCAGGGAAAATGCCCATTACCTTCTATCTGTCTCAAGGTAGCTCCAGGAAATAGATCAGAGCTGGTGGAAAAGGAAACTGGAGAACCTTCACTAAACCTTCACTGCAAGAGAAGCAGTCATTTCAGGGAGGCATTGAGAGAGAGTGAACTATGGAGCCAGACTACCTGGATTCCGAACCAGCTCCTCCACCTACTTGCTCTCTCGGACAAGTCATTTGACTTATCTCTGCCTCCGGTTCCTCATTCGTAAACCTGGGATGGTGATAGTAACTACGGCTTAGATATGTTGTTGGGATTGAATGAGCAAATGTAGGTAAAGTGTGCAGGCAGCATTTGGCCTCTAATAAAGCCATCAAAGCAATCATTCTGTGCTATGTTCTTAGTGTCCCTACCACGCTTCCTGATCCCTCCCTCACCTCAGCTTTAGGACTGACTTCAAGATTACCAGCAGAGTGAATGGAGGGTTGGAGGGCAGGGTAGCTCTATTGACACAGGTGTGCATGATGTGGTGCTGGAATGGGGAAATATGGGGTTCAGAGAAGGAAGTCATGGGTCCAGGCAGTGGAGTGAGGAGACAAAGTAACTCCCAGATACAATGTGGAGGGGTACTCTGTCATCTCCTGGTCTCTGAGCTCCTGATCCACAGGTGAGTATGTATGTCTAGTCTTCCCTTGCACTATATGTTTCCTGAGAGCAGACACTGTGTTTTGTTTACTGTTATTCATCCTTTAGCACCTAGCTCAGTGCTTGGGGTGTAAGTGATCAACAAATGTTTGAATATTTGTTCAATGAGATTTTATTTTATTGAGTTATTGGTTTTCGAGACAGGTTCTTGCTCTGCCAACCAGGCTGGAGTGCAGTGGTGCAATTATAGCTCACTGCAGCCTCAACCTCCTGGGCTCAAGCGATCCTCCCACCTCAGCCTCCCGAGTAGCTAGGACTATAGGCATGAGCCACATCCGGCTAATTTTAATTTTTTTTTTTTTTTGTAGAGACAGGGTCTCTCTGTGTTGCGCAGGCTGAGCTTTTATATGTATCACCACACTGAGCCCTGTGAAGAGGTTCCTAATTTTAACGAATTTTAGAATTCCCTTATCCAACTCTTTCACTTCAGAGTTAAACTTGTTATACGACAAGTTAGAAACAGAGGCCAAGTCTCTGCTTTCAACCTAATGTTATTTCCTTGACACTGCTCTGTACTTACAATGCAATTGGAAGGAAAAACAAACTCCCTAAAACTTACAGAACTAAATGCGGCAGTGTGTGGTTAAGATTCGAATGCATGGTATATATGATAGGTGTGGCTCAAGTTGAGAGCACTGGATTCCCCAGGGGCTGGGATTGGGCAGAAAATGCTCACTGCAAAAGAGAACTTGAACTTACCCTGAAGGATGGGTAGAATTTGAGATTCAGGAAACAGAAGTCCAGGGAGTGGAGGTAGCTTTCTGCTGAGGCCATGGTGAATGGGTAAGGGTCAATTGGAAAACAAGAAGGGTTTGCACTGGACCATAGTAAGACAAAATGTTGGAGGATTAAGTTGAGGCCAGCTTATGGGAAATTTCAAATGCCAGGATAAGGAGTTTCTACCTTCGTCTATGGGCAGTGAGGAACCCCTGTATATAGACACGGCTAGGCACTGAACCAAGACAAGACACCAGGCAAAGGTCTGCCAATGTGATCTGATTTGCATCTTTTGCAGACAGTTGCTTGCCATATATATGCATTTACTGAATTTACCCCCACACAAAGGAAACTCTACCAGCTAGCTTGTCTATATTTATTTTGCCTCCATATACACATGATACTTGTTGGGAGCAGAGGAAGGGGAGGGAAATTAACATGGTTGGTGTGTCTGTAGACACTTTCACCTGCAGTAGTCTCTCATTTAATCCTGACAATCTTGTGGGGAGTGGGTGGTATTGCCTCAGTAACCCCCAGAAAGGGTTGGTAACTTTCCCAGCACACACAGCTAGGAAGTGGTGGAGCCAGAATTCAAACAAACTCAGCTTTGACACCAAAGCCCTCTTCAATCCCTTCTCGAAACCTTCCCATGAGAAGATACAGGAATTGGGGTCTCAATGCCAGGTTCCTTGAAGTCAGACAAAGCTAGGTTTGAATTTCCATTTCCACTACTTACTAGCTGGTAGCAGAGGCTCATGACTCCGATGGACCTGAAGCTTCAAGGCCCCCTCACTTTACACAGGCCCCTTGCAAGCCTGCTGCCCAATTTTCAAATCCCAAATTTTGCATTATTGTCCTCAAAGAGGGCTCCAACAATTGCATAAGCCTTGGGCCTCATGAAACATGAATCTGCTGAAGGTAGATGACCTCTATCAAGTTACTTGCTGAAACTTAGTTTCTGTATCTGGATAAAATCATCCTGGACTCTGGTCTACCAGCTTAACATCCAGTTGACACATAATACTAGAGATGCTGCAGTAAATTGAACCTGATCTCACCTAGCCTTACTCCAAAGGCAAAGGTTCACAGAGCCCCTAGATCAAAAGAAATACCTAACGGATTGTTAAGTACGTAGGTCCAAACAACTTAATAGGTATTCATGTCTTAACAATTTAGTAATTATTTGCAAAGACAATACATGGAAATTGAAGGAAATTGATGTTTTTATTATTTTGTATTTTTTTAATTTTTTTGAGACGGAGTCTCGCTCTGCCACCCAGGCTGGAGGTTTAGTGGCGCGATCTCAGCCCACAGCAAGCTCCACCTCCCAGGTTCACGCCATTCTTCTGCCTCAGCCTCCCGAGTAGCTGGGACTACAGGCGCCCGCCACCACGCCCGGCTAATTTTTTGTATTTTTTAGTAGAGATGGGGTTTCACCATGTTAGCCAGGATGGTCTCGATCTCCTGACCTCGTGATCTGCCCTCCTCGGCCTCCCAAAGTGCTGGGATTACAGGCGTGAGCCACCACGCCCAGCCTGATGTGTTTATTTTATTTATTTATTTATTTATTTATTTATTTTGAGATGGAGTGTCACTCTTTTTGTCCAGGCTGGAGTGCAATGGCAAGATCTCGGCTTACTGCAACCTCTACCTCCCGCGTTCAAGTGATTCTCCTGTGTCAGCCTCCTGAGTAGCTGGGATTACAGGCACATGCCTCCACATCCTGCTAATTTTATATTTTTAGTAGAGATGAGATTTCACCATGTTGGCCAGGCTAGTCTCGAACTGCTGACCTCAGGTGATCCACCCCCCTCGGCCTCCTAAAGTCCTGGGATGACAGGCGTGAGCCACTGCACCTGGCCTTTATTCTATTCTTTATTTTTTTTATTTTTTTTGAGACACAGTTTTGCTCTTGTCCTCCAGGCTGGAGTGCAATGGCACAATCTTGGCTCACTGCAACCTCTGCCTTCTGGGTTCAAGTGATTCTCCTGCCTCAGCCTCCCAAGTAGCTGGTATTACAGGAGTGTGCCACCACGCCCAGCTAATTTTTGTATTTTTAGTAGAGATGGGGTTTCACCATGTTGGCCAGACTGGTCTCAAACTCCTGACCTCAGGTGATCCACCCACCTCGGCCTCCCAAAGTGCTGGGATTACAGGCGTGAGCCACCGTGCGCAGCCTATTTTATTCTTAAATGACTGCAATTTCTTTCTAACAGGATGAGTACACCTGTTGAGCACTGCACAATTTCCCAAACCTTAGAATCAGATGTACACAATCACCCTTATTTTCTATTTCCCATCCATTTTCATATGCAGTGCTTTCCTTTTTTTTTTTTTTTTTTTTTTTTGAGATGGAGTCTCCCTGTGTTTCCCAGACTGGAGTGCAGTGGCGCGATCTCGGCTCACTGCAAGCTCCACCTCCCGGGTTCACGCCATTCTCCTGCCTCAGCCTCCCGA